ATTTTTTGCCAAAATTGGCTTTGCACACATCAATCTTATTTGCAGCATCTAAGAAAGATTTAAGTCAAAGAGGATCAACCACACTCGTGACATAGTTTCTGGAAAAGAGCTGCACCACTCTTAGTATTGAGAACCTCCCCATGATCTAACACCTATTTCCCCCCAATGAATTTTCTTAAGTTGCCCTCTTGTTTGCACCCTGGCATGGCTTGGTTCATGTAGATGTCCGAACTCTCTGTGAATGATGATCTAGGATGATCCGCATTGGCGCCATCTGGTGATTCTGGAAAATATCAAACCATGAAACAAACCCTGTCGTGTTTGCTCTGAATAAAACCTTCTCACCAAGTAATTCATAGCATTCCAACTTCACTTTCAACTGAGTTGCTAGCCAAAGAGCCCTGTAACAATTCGGAAAGGGGGAAGAGGGAGGAACATCTCTCTCCCAGAAATGGAGGATCAGGAAGGCAAGCTTTAATTTTTATTTAATCAATTTTTAAGGTCAGATTAGGCACTTAGATCATCTACTCTGATTTGGTGCCTAATGAAAGCCAAAGGATGTCACATATTCATGTGTAACAGGTCCAATTATTTGTACCTAGATAGAGCACAGTTTTGTGGATGTGTGTCCTGTGTTGGTCTGAAGCTGTCAGAATATGGAGAATCCCACAGGGATGTATTGTACATTATTTCCAAGAACAATGCTTGTCTTACACATCACTTGAACTTTCGTTTAGTCTTAACAACAAAACAACACCAGTTTTCACAAGTTTAAGAAGCCTTTAACAACCTGTATAGCCTCCCTGTAAAATTACTTATATGCTGCAGTAGAGCTCACACTCAGAGGAAATAAATTACAGCTCTGTCAGTATTTCTATCACATATTTTTACCAATCCTTAAAGGATTTTTGGGTGATTCTTATGCCCCCCTACAAAGGCTTACACCTTTTAGAAACATGGAAAACCAAACCTGTGCAGACAGCCTCACCAGCAGCATAGATCTCCTCTTACTTATTATTTCCCTCCTGTACGACCAACAGGGTAAACAAAGAGCAGTTTGCCATTCCAGTCTTGGGCAGTAATTTTGACTTTAGGGAATGGGTTTTCTCCAGCCATGTTCCTCATGCATCTGTTTCTCTCTCTTTGTTTATTCCCGCCTGTCCCCAGGAAGTTTCAAAATCGTCGATCAATTTTGACCAAGTGCGACGGAGGCGTAGAGGTTTGACAGGAATTAAGTACCTACAAGTTTCATGAAAATAGGCAGCAGAGTAGAGGGAGGGAGGGAGGCCCTATTAATTCCCTCATTGAAGGAAAGACCTCAGCATGAGCTCAACCTTTGTTACAGCCTGGAAATCCACACGAGAGAGAAACCCTGGAAAGCAGCCATCATTAGTAGCACCGCTCATGGAACCACCTGTTTAATTAGTTATTCTCTGCCGTAAAGAACCATTTAAAAACAGCTCCATAGCTTTCAATATAAGCTTGCTTGCAGTGCCCCCAGTAGGAGTCACGGAGACTGAGGTCAGGGGAAACTGGGCCCCACGTGCATTGTACCTCTCATAATACATACCCCTAAAAGGCTGCTATAGGTCTTTGGGCGCAGACAGACCCAAATGTGGGTCTGCCATATTTGTCCCACTCTTACAGCCAGTCACAATCTTCTGCCTTACCACCATCAGGGTGTCTCCTCTCCTTGTCTTTATCAGAGAGCCCAGACCTGGTGACAGAAGTGATTGTATCCAAAGTCATGCTCCAGCCCTCTCTTCGTAGCTGTTCAGTTTGCACAGAGCTGATGAAAGGGTAAGAAAAATCATCTGCTAAACTCAAACCAAATCTGCACTGTGCACATCTGTACTGAAACACTGTCATGAATGGGCCGGGCTTATGGGACAGTGAGGGGGTACATCCGTCAGACTGGACTAGTTACTCATCTTCCACCAAATGTCAAGTCTTGACTGCAAAGCATGTACATATTCTAGCTTTGCAGCAACACAGCTGCAAGCCTATTAGTTCCTTAGGTACAAGTAGAATAATGTACTTTTGCCAAATATTGAGGAATTTAAAAAGACTGTTTTTACTGAAATCAGAAATCATTCTAACCAAATATTTCAGAGAGGATTGTGAAACTAAAATTTAATCCCTCAAAATAAGAATACATACAGCAGTTAGTATTAGAACACATTTCTAGTTCAGTATTTCTCAGATCTTACCACAAAAAGACACTTAGGAGAAAAATAGGATATGTTACTGCTGTGGAGAACAAGAAAATTAGTCTTTGCTCTTTTGTTCACAAGCTGTGCACCACCTGTAGCATTTACTCCATACACAGAGTCCTGCCTATATAACTGTTTTCCGCACTCTGCCTATGTGCTTCACAGAATACACAGGAGATCCCCCATGAAAGCACGCATAAGTCTGCAGAAGGAAAGTGCCCAGCAGGTGAGTATGAACAAGGATAGTTAAGGAAAGGGCATGTAAGATGCCAGGGAAATAAAAGAGGATTCAGGACACACCCAGGAGGAGCGTTCAGGATGAGGGGGGACTTGCATGGGGACCTTGTGTCCATGCAGAGCTCATGGGCCACGTCAGCTTTGGCAGCATGCCTTGTTCCTGAGAAGGGGAAGGTGGCTTACTCTGCCTTTGTAAACTAAAAATCTCATACTCACAGTAAGGTCCTTACATTAAAAAAGATATTAAACCAGAAAAGTCAAGTACGTAAGGGCTAGGAGATGATGGAAAGTACTACAGTACGGCATTCTGAAAGGTCACATCATAATGCAAGAAGGAGTGTAGAAGTCAGACTATACTGGAAAATTTGGCTTTGGCATTTCAAAATGTTTCTAAACAAGAGGGAAAATGAGGCAGCTGTACCATGAAGTCAGTAGCAACCTGTATTCCTACCCAACTCCATAACTTCCACTGAGTTTTGCTTACATTTGTTGTATGTTCTTAAAACTATAAAGAAGATCTTGTAACATTTTACGAACATCAAAGGATTAACCCTCTTAACCTTCCCTGAACAACACATTATTCCCATTTTACAGATAAGGAAAGCAAGAGATTAAGTAACATTTCCAAATCCAGCAAATACAGTGGTAGCAGACACAGAAAATCTCTGCTCTTCAGCACCATGCTTTAACTGGAGACAATGGTTTCCCATGGGATATCTGTGTCAGAGCTTTGAAGGACATCAAACTACACAGGCTGTCAATAGAGATAATGGAATAATTGGCATCTGTGTCTATGATGCTTTACCTTTCAGGAAAGCTGGATTAGAATCTTCAGCCAATTAAGTAATGCTGTTGACTGGGCAATCATAGATGTTTATGAGACAGATAGAAAGAAACTACAAGGGAAAGAATAGTCAGAAAGAAAAACCAGTATACCACTTACAAGGAGCTCAAGAAACTTTGCTGGAATAAAAACTACCTTATACTGGGACTTGACCATTCAAATATCAGGGCTGGAAACCCAAACCTTCAGGTTCTTAGCAATAATTCTGATCTATCACTGCAACTCATTGCATTTGCCCATGCAGTTCACACTCTTCAGAGCCAAGTATTTCATGTAGAACCAGGGGGCAGAATGATATTGTGTAAAGACATAAATTGAATGTCAAAAATATATACATGAGCACACACACCACTTCAAAGAAAGTCCATCAATATTTTGCAAATTCAAGGGAATTGTCTTATTTGCATTTGACTGGCTTCAAAATCTCATGTTAGTATTTTTAACCAAAATATTTTTTTGCACCCTGTTACAAGAAAAATATGACAATTCATTCAAGCGAATATGCTTCCTAAATGAGACTTTCCAACATTTACACAGGTTTTCAACGTTTCCCATGAACTGCGTGCAGAGTTAGAGTTAACACATCACCACAGCTAGATAAAAGCACAGAATAGGTTCAAGAGTCTGTAAAATACCGTGGCACAGAAGTAAAAGCAAATTGAAGCACACAGAAACACTGTTTCATATGAAACAGAAGACCTTTTTTTCTAGGGTAAGGGGGTCCAAAGGGCACCTCCTTTTACAGGCCTCCCCAACAGACAGTCCTGTAACTCCCAGGTGTGGCATCCATGAGGCATTGTAAATAACTCACTTTATTCCCCCTTTAAAAGAAATACGCCTTATAAATTTAAGATTCAGACTTTGGTCTGAAACTAGCTTCTCTCCCTTTCTTCTCTCTCAAACACATACACATAAACACAGAAATCCTTATATTTTGGATACCTCTCTGTAGGTTATGCAAATGTTACCATCTCTTTGCAAATAAGGGTGTGAATGCCATTGTAACAGCAAGAGACAGCCAGTTTGCCATTCCTAAATCTCAGCCATGTACTAGGAACGGCCAAGGGAGAAAAAAATCAGTTGTATTATATCATCAATATCAGCCTCCCTGGGCATAAATATATAAACACAAACAAAAGATAAAAGATTGCACAGGTAAGAAGAGATTCTCAATAGGGGGATGAAACTGAAGAAGGTCTATGTGTACCCCTTACACACAGCCAATAGATGGGCAGAATGATTTATTTCACATCACTTGCAACCCTTAATAAAACTTACACATCACCACATTGTGTAGCTCAAATAATGACATCTGTTAGGAAAAAAAAAGAAAAGGTCTCTCTCAAGACTCCATTCTTTTGGAAAGGTTTAATTTTTCACACCAGTTTTCCTGTGCTAGCCCAGCTGCCTGGTCATGCTTTCCTGCTATACTTTGTGAAAACTAACATGCCTAGCTTGTCTTCACTTTTACCAAAGCAGAAGTGGACCTGCATCTTTTTACACCCTTCTAAAGATTTTCCACTGACTTTCAAACATGGTCTGATTGTAATATCAGGTAGGCCTTCTGATTCACGCTGATTCTGTCTCGTGCTTTCCTGGTTGAACACCAAATGTAAGAATAAGGATTTACAAAATTATTATGCTTTACTTCATTAGGTCCTAAGCTTCCAGCATGTATTAAAGCTTAATAACACGGTACTTGATACCTGGCTTTGCAACTATGTTTTCTTCCAAGATGCTCTGTCAATCGACCTGTGGGTCACTGGACACTTTTCAGTCTCTTACCATTAAAAAGCCATCAGCAGAAAAAGCCTCAGTGATCTGCTTTATGAAATCAAACAGTCAACCCAACACACAACAGATACTCATCCTTGGTATCAATGTGAAGGCTTACTAGTGACCGTGCAAAGGCTTGAGGGCTTAATTCTTCACTCACATGAACTTCTGGGGTCAGCTCACAAAAACTTGATCAAATCAAATCAATTCCAAGGCAGCGCCTGTCCTGGCAGGACAAAATGGGAAGCCTTTTGTTTCCGTGGGACTCGGGCCTTATCATCTCACTCTGCCACTCATACTTCCTCAGCCCCCTTGCAAATCCTCCTGGATTTACTGCAGATGCATGAAGCTTGCTGGAAATAATAGTACAAGCGAAGAGGCTAGTCAGCTATCGACTCCAAGCTCTGGGTAATACCAATGGGAAATTATTCACACAAAAGGTGCGCTGGGGTGACAAATGAAGAGTGCGCTTTGGCCCATTGAAGATGCTAGGAGCTCGGACAAAGCTAACACACTAATACCAAACAGCCCACTTTATCTGATTACATACTGAGCGCTTGCCTCCCCTTCCCTGATACCAGCACCCTGCCCACCCCCTCACACTTTGCTTTAAAGGACACAGGTTGCTTTCATCTGTGCAATGTAGCATGAAGCAGTAATCTACAGCAGGAAACTGTCTAAAAAACCATTATCTTCTCTCCTTCCCCAAAAAGTATCTTTAATGCTTAAACACATCAAACCCAAAGTTTTTCTCAACAAAATGGGAGGAATGTGAGCACAGATTTATGCCATGTTTTCATGTCTCTCCCACCCACACCACTGAGACAAGGAAATAATTCTTTTGACACTTTTTTAACATTTGGGAGTTTTCCCCACCCCATTATTGTATATTCATGTCTTCCTTATCTTCTTTGTTGTTTTTGTGGGTTTTTTTAAGTCATGAATACATTTCTCATGGGAATCCATCCAGGGGCTAAATAGAAAGATCAGTTTTGGTCCTTGGGTCACTTAGTAAGCAGTACAGTCCACAACCCCCGAGTCACTAGCACTGTTTTCTCCTCAGGAAAGTTTGCACCATAGGTTGAGCTTCCAAAGACCTGACTGCCCAGGCTGTTTTGGGTTAGTCATACAATATCACATTAGGCATGGTGGCAACATCTAGGTGTCCTGCGCAGGGCCCTGGGAAATTTGTTGACTTCCATGGGACTGAGCTTGTTAGTTAAATTCTGAGTAATCTTGAAACTCTGTTCAGCTAAAGCTCATAAAGTGTTTTGATGTAAATGAGCACAATGGAAGAATTAAACTGTATCAGAAACAAAAGAAATCCTAACAATGGCATTAGTCTACTGACACTAAGAAGGGTTATAAACATCAATAATAGCAACAAAGAAAAAGCAATAGTGCTCAGTATATATCCCTTTGCTGTAATTAAAACACCACCAAACTGCTATACTGAATTCACTGATGTTATGAAATCACAAGATGATCATGAAGTGCCTTCCATTGTAATAGCAGCTTATAAGGATATTAAAAAGCAACCACAAAAGTTAGACATCAGCTAACTTGGAAAAATGTTTCAAAGACTTTTAACAGAAATTGGAGCAGTTTTTTGGCTCCTTACTTACTGAACACCAAGGAAGCACCAGGGCTGGGAAGAAAGCTAATATTGTGCCACTGTTTAAAAAGGGTAAATGGCACGACCCAAGTAATTATAGACCTGTCAGCTTGACATCAAACCCAGGCAAAACAGAGCAGCAGCTGATAAAGGATTTGATTAATAAAGAATGGAAGGAGAGAAATATAATTAACGCCAGTCAACACAGGTTTATGAAAATAGATCTTGTCAAACTAACTTGATTTCTTTTTTGGATAAGATTACTGGTTTGGTTGATATAGGTAATAGACTTGGGACTTCTACTGTGTATTTCACTTGGTATCACATGAAATTTTTATTAAGACACCAGAATGACACAAAACTATCATACTACCTATCCAGTGTGTTAAAAGCTGGCTGACAGGTCTAAAAATGTAATTACACGAGCATTTAGAGCTGTATCTTGGCCCACTCCTGTTTAAATTCTTTGTCAATGATGCAGAAGAAACACCTTGTCACGAAAGACCACAGAGGGCCAGTTGCTCAGGAGGATGATATATTGTTAAGCAGCTTTGTTGCTAATCCAGGGTAACCTGGATGGTTTAACTAGTGAAAACAGGAAAGAAGTATGAGCTTTGAAATGACCTTCTATTAGGAAGTAAGGACTTCCCAATACAAAGATCTGAGGGTCATAATGAATAGCTCGCTGAACATGAACTTCCAGTTCAATCCCAATGTCAACAGCTCTAATACAATTTCACATATATAAACTGGAGAATATGAATGAGACCTAGACTTGTAACATTACTTCTGCCTGGAAACAGGACCCCTGAAGATGCTCTCAAAGCCCGATTTCCTGACCATATACACCGAACAGATTCAAGCACCACTGATAAGTGTCCTCCCAGTACTCAGACATTATGGAAGATAGAGCTACAAGGATGTTATCTCTCCCAGGGTGAAGTTAGAAATCTGCTCCAACGGTCTTCATTTAGTGAATTGCTTTACTAGGGCAAGGATTAGGACTGGGCATTTGCTGGCTTGCAGCATTTCCAGAAAGACAAAGCTGAACAAATGGCAACATCTCAGATGAAAACTTGGAATTGCCCATCAGATTGAGCTGCTTTCAGTTCTGTGTAAGGCAAAAGCAGGTTCAGGACATCACAGAAGAGCAGAAACACTCAAACTGCTATTGTGACTTCTGTGTGGTGTCCCCGATGACTTGTGATGGAGACAGATTAATAAGCAGCTGCTAAATTTCATGCAGAAAAAAATCAAAGTATTTTTTTGTTTATTTTAGGATTTTGTTAGGTACAGCTCTATTTTAGATTCCACACAAACGCTTCTTTTTATCCATATTTTTGGCATTGAAGAAAAACTCAGCCTTTGTTATATTTTTATGGGACCTGTTGTTCTTTCAGAGGTATTTTAATGCATATTCCTGTTTTAGTGAGCGTTGCTCATTTTGTCAGAAGCAGATGGTGTTTGCTGAATTTTGTTTGTTCCAAAAATAAGCAACATCCAACTGTTCACTACAGAGGTGTGAAAGAGGAAAGGCCTGATGCATAAACACAGTTTCTCCCTCCTACTTCCCCTTGCTATTCTTCTGGTGAAAGGACTGCCACTGTCTTGTTATAAGCCTCCAGAACAGTGGAGTTCATGCTGTCGCTCTACCAGAGAGGGCACACAGCTCCAGCTGGCATCCCTGCCAGAGCAGAGCAGTAGCTAACAGCTCCTGGGAGGCCAGCCCAGAGGGCTTTGTAACAGCTTCTTTGCAGCCCACCAAAGGAGAAAGGCACTTCTTACTAGCTAGTGTTAGTAGGCAGCCTAAATTAGGCTCCCTCTGTGGTCAATAGAGAGAAGTAGGCTTTTCCAGATGGGTAGCACAGATTGCCTCTGTTGACTAAAGAGACAGCCTATACTCACATCCAATTCTCCATCCTGCTGGCCTGCCGCCATGTTTTTTTTCGGGCAGGGCAGCAGTGCAGAGGCCAAACAAGGTCCAGAGGGATGGATGCTCCTGTGCACATCACCCTGAAGAACACAGGGGAACCGCTGGATTCAAGAGCACTACCAAGAGAAGAGATACATGTCAGGGGTGAGAAATACAACCTGACTCTCATCTAGAAGCTCAGAACAGCACGTAAGAGCCACAGGGAGTCAGTTCTAGATTCATATGAACATCTTTGTGAAAATAAGGGTACATCACTATAAAAATGATCTGTATCAACCTGAGCAGGGACAAAACACTCTGAGCAGTGCATGCCATGATCCCAGACACTAGCTCCACACCTGAGGTTTACTCCTCAGGGTTAGGCACAAGGTTCCAGGAACACCAGTCTGTTGGGCCCTTACAGCCAGGAGCTGCACTGCTCTATTTATGCACATCTGAGAATGCCAATGTCAAGCCTTCTGTTGGCATTTGTACCTCTGTTGTTGTGGTTCATGCGTGGACCTGGCTGGGGCTTTCTCTGGCCTTTGGTTCACCTCATTAATCCTCCTCATGGTGTGACTGAGTTGGCACCCAGGTACACCCAGTTGCTTTGATTTGATTAGGCCTTTAGAAAGGGCTAATTTGGCCAAACTATCTAGCAGCACACCTTAAATCTGCTAGATAAGGCTTCTTAATGACTCCTGAAGGCAGCGGCCTGCCTGTATACAGGGCTCAGCAAGAGTCTTGGAGCACCAAACATTAAGCAATGCCAAATAAGAGAATCTGTGGCATCTGGGAATATCTTTTCTGAATAAAGTATTAAAAAAAGATAACCACTGCAGGGTGCCCTATTATGCTTTTAAAACATTCCCCGTTTGCTTAGTGTTTATCCCGAAAAGCTAATTATACTTGTCGCTTAATGTAAATTGGTGGATAAATAAACACAGAAATAGGACCTTAGTGACTGCTATGCTTTCTTTAAAATGCTGTCTGAAGGTTCATTATGCTAAACACAAAAGAGGAGGGAACTTCTTACAAAGCACTTATTAAAGGCACATTTTCTACAGAAATGATTGTAGCATGATTGTACAATAGCATATAATTTGCTTTGTTGGCATTTTCAGCGTGAATCTTGCCGACAGCAAGTATGGATGGGAAAAGTGGCTACGAGGCTGCTGCTTGTGCTGTTAGGAGCTGTCAGCAGTGATTCAGAGGAGGTTGATGCCCCAGCCCAGAAGAAGAGCACTGGCACAATGCACATGGCTGACAACAGGGCCAGAAATCCCACAGCTTGCTTGCACATCCCTGTGGTAGTGAAAAGATTGAATTGATGCTGACACCTTGAAAGATTTATGTGACATCGCTATGATCATTAACAGCAGAACAGGTTGTAGCAGGTCCCTAGCTCTACAAATGGGTTCCAAACCAGGCGTGAACATGCAGCTGTATTTCTGTCACAGCAGCCAGAAAGGTACAACTTGGAGTTATGCAACACTATGTCCCCATGCTGGCTTAATGTCAGCTGAAAGAGGATAAAAAAGACCTCATACAATAAAAAAGTGTCCCAGATGATCATCACCTTACATGACAAAACACCAGCAAGTATAAAACTGACCCACTGAAACAGACCATGACTTTGCATGACAACCATGGTATTTCTGACACAGCAGGAAGAGGCCTAAAGTCAGCGATACTTTGTCATCCACCCACTGCCTCATGAGGGAGTTTCCAGAGAAACAACAGGGAACACGTCTCAGTGGGGTTTGGGTTGTGGGGTTTTTTTCTTGTACAGATACAACCAAATAAAGCAAGCAGCTACTGGAAGGGTAAACATAAGGATGATGTACCTGAAATTGACCACCAAAATACCGACTCTAAATAGTCAGAGTTTGGCCCTACTTAAGTTAAATTTAGCATCTACAGCACCCCGATGCAGTTTTCCCTATATGGCACCAAAATAGCTCCATAGACACTAAGCCTTGGCACATGCAGTGAAGCAATTGGGCTGTAGAGCCCAGGAGGGCAGGGACTGCTCTGGGCAGGCTGTGCTTTTCACGTCTGGCCACAGCCAGGCTGCAGGTCACTGGGTAGACTGAAACACTCACAAAAGAAATCTGTCGTTCACCTTTCTTAGCCTCTTGAGAGACTTTTATTTGCCACCAGTTTCAGTCTGATGGATGTTTTAACTTTGTCAAACTGCTCCTAGGAGTTGTGTATTAGTTTGCACTGCCTTTGAAACTTGGTTGTTATCCTGAAAGGGCAGGAAGTGGGGATTAAGTCCATTAGATGTTGTTTGAACAACTCTCTTTTCACTCCTCGTTGTGACTCTGCAGCCTGCCAGCACATTTCAGTCTCTTTCCAGGAACTGGCACCGTGGGATGAAGTGTGGCTGAACGAAGGCCTGGCATCCGTGCTGACTTTCACAGGTACCACAGAGAAATGGAGAAGGAAACTTAATGGCAGAGGAGGGGAAAAATGCCCCTGGAATCACCCTCTGCAAGTGAAGAACAGAGGACCTGGCTTTCAAAGAAGCCCTCTGCTGCCTGTGGGATACAGGAGCAAAGTACATTATTAGACTGGAAAATGTGACAACCTAATCATTCTGAAGGGTACTATTATTGTCTGCTTAATATGCTTTACAGTCCAGATGAACAGGGAAGGCTGGCTGACAAGTGTAGTATGATGTATCAAATGGCTCAATACTGCCGTGATGGATCTGTAAAAGGAATCTAATTTCACAGTCTGAGGGAAATATAGATCATACAGTTAGCACTTTAAGGCTACTGATTGCAGTGATCTGGGCAGATAATTCCAGTTTAGGATATTCTGGTCAGTCAGCATTTTGCTTGATACTGTTGCTGATTTAAACCTGCGACCTAAAACCAGAATCTGTGAACACTTGCACACTGCAGGGTGTAAGTCTTACTTGCCAATCACATGGTGACATCAGCAAGGATGTTTTTAGTTCTAATCAGATGAAACAATGCATTTGAAAATTCTTTGGGTCAGGATTATGTAGCAGAGCAGCTTAAACCGTACATGCAAAAAACTGGAACTTTCATGCATGTCACTGGGCAATTGCACATGACAGCCCAGTTGTTTTATACACAGAAAGAGTTTCAATTGTGTAAAAGGAAAGCTTGCTCAGGTTTTGAGTGTATTATTTATTTTTGAAAACAGACCCCCTGCCTGTCCTGCTATCGTGAACGATATCACTTTACAGAAGACATAATCTTCAGAAGTGTATTCCTGCTGATTAAGGGTTATTTGATAATCACAATCACGTCTGAGGTATGGCAACATAATAGAAAATGATTGGGGCAGGTGTTTATTTCTAATGGCTCAAGTACTCTCTTCACATTTGATCTCTGGAATCAAACACAAGCTTAGACATAAAAACTCACCAACTTGGAAGCCAGAGATGGTTGTATTTTCAGTGCCTTGGCAGATGGAGTTAAGCCTTCTTTAGTTTTGAATTAATATGAACGACTTGTTCTTCTTCCTCCTCTTCTTCCTGTTGCTGCTCTGCATCTTGAGGTTTCTGCAACCCAGTCTGGGAGATCCACCAAAGTCCACATGAAGAATCTCATGCAGGCTTTCTGCAGAGTTTCAAAATCCCACCTCCAGTGCAAAATCTATCTTTCACTTCATGTGAATCTTCAACTGGGTCTTCTAATGCTAGATGACAAAAGGTAGATCATACATAAAGGTATGAATAGTAAGAAATGTTACAAAATGGTAGAGATCAGTGTGCATCTTTTTTGGCCCTTCCTCAGAGAACAGTTGAGAAAAACACAATGTCATAGTTCAAAGCACTCAGTGATCCTGCTTCTGCTGCCAAGTAAAAAGGTCCTTACCTCATAGTTCCCAGTGTTGGGACTACTCTCATTTCAGCTGTCTCCTCAGGAATTTTGCGTAACTATCTTGGTCTGTGTTACAGGCATAATGAATGTGCATGCCCTGTCCATAAAAGTCTGAAAGACTTCTTTTATGGACTAAACTCAACCCAACTCAGCAAAACTATTCAGCCTTTTTTCATTAGAAGTTGTGTTTAAGCAGTTAGTTTCTTTTGACACTTTAATCTGCCCATTATGAAGAGTTTAGCTTGCTGGCCATTGCTGGATGGGGATGAAGGACCTCAGAAACTCTCTGGGTATCCTACATACAAGAAGTCTGCCCAAGGTAGTTAGCCCTTTCAGAAAAACAATGACTTTCTTCAGTAGGAATTAAAAAACTAAGCCAGACAATGAAGCTCATGGTTGTCCTGCTAGGAGCTCAAAGCAAAGACATCAATATAGGGGCTAAGATGATATTTTTTGTGCTAACTATAGCCAATTGTGATGGTTTTAACTGTGTGGGAAGCGTGGCCTTTGCTGAATGGTTTTGGTAAGTTAGGTGCAGAACACCACTGGACATCTAATCCTGATGAACTTATGTAATTATTTATTTCAGTGCATGATAACCAAAGTGAGCAGGATTTGGCTTTGGTTATGAATAAGTAAAGAGGATCCCAAAGCACAAAATGGCAGTTTAGAATGGCAGAGGAGCTCCTAACCCTGGGGAGCCCATTTACACCAGGCAGGACGGTTCAGACAAAACGCTAAGGGGGGGAACACAGTCCGTTTCTGAAAAGAAAGAAAGAAAATTGCCCCTAAAAGAAAAATCCATAATCACGATGACCATCAATAGAGGAGATTCCCCTTTGGTAAGGAAGCTTCTTTCGACTGAGAAAATTCCCTATGTTTGCTGATTCTATTCCAGCTGGCCTGACTTGGATTTGTAACCACCAGATACATTGCAAACAACTATGGATATTCTAAAGAAAAATAAAGGCTTTTTTAAAACCAATAAGTAGCATTCTTGCACATGGATGAAGAAGACAATCAGTCACAAAATGGATGAAATTGCTGCCTGCCCTTCTAAAATATTTAAGACGCCTGCACCAAGCTGCTTTTGGTTTGTATACATATCAGATTATAGAAGATCTGCTTCTTTATAATTTTTTTTTAAAGGGTGGCAGCCTTAGTTCAATAGAGTTACTGAGACAATCCTTTAAGCTGTGCCAAAATGCCGGTTATCCTAAGATGCCACCCAGATTTGAATAATTTAGGAAAAGACAAAACCACAGAAAGGAGGAATCGTCCTTTGACTACTTTTGCTTTTGACACGGCTGCCTCCCTCTCCTTTTTACCAAAGCATCTTCGTCTCTCTATCGGCCATGACAAGTGCCAATCAAGGCTTCTGTTTCTAAGGTTCTGGGGGAAAATGAAACATGGAACATTTTCTAACAATCACTGACCAAAGGTCCACTATCAGTGTGTGGTCTGGGAGAAGCCAGCTTTTCCCTTTTTCACTTCTAATCTCTGACCCACTGTTTACCTCTTCTTTTTTATATACTTTAATCTCTTTGTTGCTCCAAAGGATCCTAAACAAATTGTAGGTCAGTGTGGATTAGTCTGCTTTGTTAGCAATGATTAGTACATTTACTTTTGCTTTAACATCTTCAGCAATAGCTGAATGTCAAAAAGATCCAACAAGAGTTTGTTTAATCACAACAAAAACTATATCCACATGGTCTTAGAATAGTATTGTGAGTCTCAGAATAAAAATCTGGGATACAATAGGAGACAGTGACCATGGACCTTCATTGTTAACATGTGTTTTCAGAGGTACTATTCTAGTAATTCAGTATTATTATAATCAGATTCGCAGTACATTCATTAGGCCAGGATAATAATTAAGCTAAGATATTTGCCTGAGTCTGAATTCTGATCCCATTTGCACAGCAGTTGCACTGGGTTCAGAGACAGCTTATGTAGCTTGAGGGTTGTGAAAATATTTTCAGAGAAAAATGTTATCAAGCTGCTCAGCAAACATGTCTATGTATGGACCAGAATCAAAGAGGGGAATTACTGGATACTGGACTAATTTGAAAGGGGTATATAAGGACAAGATCTCTAAAAGTAAGATAGGCATCCTTAGATGCAGGTAAGCTTTCTTAAACCAATATTGCATCTTCCCAGCTTATGCACAGGTTGGGAGAGTACATTAATGTGATTTACATGCAAAAGGTGATAAGAAAATAAATATGGTCAGAAGAGAAGAGGAACTTTGTTTAGAGTCCCTTGACATTAAAATTGTACCTACTTACATTACCTTATACATTAGCAAGACCAGAGTCAGGAAGTTTTTATATGATCACAGCAAATAATATAATATTTTTATTCTGTTGCCCCATCTTCTCTTTCCACATCAAGTTCATGGATTTTCTCATCAATTTCAAAGTGACTTTACTACTCTTGACAGGTTTTTTTCTTATCTGCCACTGCTTCCTATCCTCCAACCACTACCTGCAATACCAGACCTGGCCCCTATTTGTCCACATCTCTGACAACTATCGTTCGCTGTTGCCTTCCCACATTTGCTTGATGTAGGAATTGACAGTCCCAACCTGAATTATCAAATCACTACACTCCTCTGCACCTAACCACTCTTGCGTGCTGCTGCCATAGAATCATAGAATAGTTAGGGCTGGAAAGGACTTTAAGATCATCTAGTTCTACCATGTATAAACCCTTCTTATTCAAATTTCTATGGGACTTTGCCCAGACAAAAACTGCTAGGCCAAGAAGTTGTTGGCAGTGCCTGGTATACCTGACAGATTAATAAAGTTTCCAGTTGCTTTTAATTTTACATCTTTAATTGTTTTGGGGGGCTCACCAATAGTAATAAATTGGTGAGATGGAGGTTCACATGTCAGCAACTATTCATATGTTTCTTTTCACTGACAGAAAAATAAAACTCAGACCCAAGGAACTTTAGAAATTTTTGAGCTATTTGGAAATTGTGATAATACACACAGACACACCAATCCTTGTACAGTATCTTCTAAGATTAATCCAATTTGCCCATTTAGTGTCTATGAGATATACTAACTTTGTAAACATATCACTACACTTAAGGCCAGAGAAAGAACGTATACAAATACACGTAATATTGGAGGAAAAAACCCTCATAAAACAATCACTGAATTATAAACCAACCAAGAGCTTTTAGGTCTCAAAATCAAGTAATCAAACCTTTAAAAGCAAATGCTATTTGAGACCAGCTTTCATTCAGCAATCTGAGACGTGTAATAAAGACTAACTGAGAGATCAGAGGGAAAAAAAAGCGCCATGCATGAGCAGAGCAGAGATCAGATAAGAAAAGGGACTAGAAAACAGGGGGTAAACCAGCAGTTTATCAAGGGAATCAGTAGGGTTTATTATTAGATATACAGGCTGGTACACTCTGATGAGAATGTAAACACAATATATAAAAGTTAAGAAGGTCTTAAGGAAACAATCGTCAGCTTACCTGTACCATCCTGAGTCTTAGACAAATTGTCCAGTAAAGCGAGTGTCTCAGTTCTCCAGCATAGATCCAGTTTCATTCAAACCTGTCCAAAAGTGTTACAATAAATGAGACTGGACAAAGGCCAAGAGACTTTTATCATAATCTAAACATTAACAAGTTTATCAGCACAAATCACCAACCTCCTCCTTTACCACAATGGTCTATTTTTTACCCCAGACTGACTCAGACTCTCTTCCAACTTCTGCCCAGTGACTTGTTGGGAGACAGCCCCAAGAACAAGGACCAAGTGCATGTTGCCTGCATGGCTCCATGATAGCGCCTGTGGCAAGGGAAGTTGGAACTAGAAGGTCTTTAAGGTCCCTTCCGAAACCATTCTATGATTCTATGAGTACTTCTCTGCCCAGTCACTGCAAAGGCAAATGGGGCTTTGCAAGCCATTTAAGGCAATCTGCCTGTGTTTGCACTAAAGCCCACTTCCACCCGCACAGTGGAAAGCTGATTTTAGAAGCTATTCCTGCTGGTTGCCACCACTTAGCATAAACCTGAGTGTGACTCACAGTGATGGAGCCCAAGCTGTTCAGGTAGGTTTGCATTAGCATCTTCCTGTAGTGATTTAAGCCCAGCTGGCAACCCAGAACCACGCAGACACTTGCTCACTCCACTTCCCTTCTCCCCCCTCCCCCCAGCTCCTTCAGCGATGGGGGGGAGAATCAGAAGAATGTAACTCCCACAGGTTGAGATAAGAGCAGTCCAGTAACTAAGGTATAACACAAACCACTGCTGCTGCCACCAGTAATAATAATGATAAGGGAAATAACAAGGGAAGAAAATACAACTGCTCACTAGCTGCTCACCGATACCCAGCCTGACCCAAGCAGTGATCTCGTCCTTCCAGGTAGCTCCCCCAGTTTAATAGTGGGCATGACGTGCTGTGGTATGGAATACCTCTTTGGTCAGTTTGAGTCAGGTGTCCTGTCTCTGCTTCCTCCCGGCTTCCCCTCCTCCCTGGCAGAGCATGAGACTCACAAAGTCCTTGGTCACAGTAAACATTACCACACAACAACTAAAACCATTGGTGTTATCAGCGCTGTTCCCAGGCTGAAAGTCAAAACCACAGCACTGCACCAGCTACTAAGAAGGGGAAAAATTACTGCTGCTGCTGAACCCAGGACACCTTCCCACAAAGCCCTTGAATCTAAGCTATGGGAGAGAACGGCCTGGCTGCAAGGGCATAGCTGGATAGATGGGCTACAAGCTACAGCATAAATTCAGGTTCGGACCTGAACTAAACATGTGAGGACATCCCTCTAGCCAAAACATGAGCCTGCAGGCAGCATCACTTCAGTCACCCCATTTCCCATTAGCTCTTTTCCTCAGGTTTGGTCAGCTTTCACTGTATGTTTTGCCATGCTGCCAGAAATGATGAAAATATGACAGTTATGGGTCTTGGCTCCTACATAGAATCTTTTCGCTTTAAATAAAACTGAGACTGAGAGAAAGGCTCTCTACCTGCCCACAATACAAAATGTTGAAGGACAGATATCTATGCTCACTTGGTGACTGAAAAACCTTAACAAATAATCGAATATCATAGTCATATTTGTACCATCATTTGCAAAATAAGCAGCCCATTGAAGTCATTTTATTAAGGCAAAAATGCGAGGAACTGAAAGCACTGTACTTCTGAATGCAAGAACTCTCAAAGAATCTCGGGATAACAAATGATAATCTGCATCTTGGCCTGCTACTGGGGCACTTTAAAGCTCACAAGCAGGTCACAGTTGACTGCTTGGCTTTCAGTCAAGCAAAACTTCCCAAAGAATCAGGAAAAAGGTGTGAAGAATTTATCTGTATGGACTGAGATAACACAAGCAGTGCGTTTTCAAGAAGTACGTGTACACCCTATTGCTCCACGGCAAAGCAAAGGAAAAAGCATTAACTTAAATCATCTTAATTATTTAAGCCTGTGCAGGGCTAAGACCATGCACACATTCCACTTGTGCATCTGGTCTGAAGAGCACATATATCTCCTCTATATGTGCTCTTCAAGCGCATCCTGTGCAAGAAGTAGGGAGGATATAAAAACTCCTTAATGATCATATCTATAAATAACAGTGGTTTAGCTGCAAAACATTTAAAGATTGAGATTTCATTGGTCACTGCCTACTGCAGTTAACTTTTTGTGAGTATTTTTTGCCAACTACAGCTCATAAATTATTGTGGCTAGATCGGCCTAATTACAGAACACCAACAGACCTTTCATAAATAAAATACCACTGATGTCTTCACACTAATTGTTCTGTAACTCTAGCCTTGCATATCCAGCAGTAGCTGTGCTTAAACACTGTAAATCAGTTTAGCAGTTCCATTCACACATTGACAGATCCTGTGAGAAACAGGATCGTGTTTCCTATCTAGACAGCCCCTGCTAAGCAGTCAGTTTGAAAAGAGTAATTCGAACAGGGTAACATTAAAAAATACATGATACTACAGAGAGGAAGCTGTGGTGCTCTTATTTCTGTCCCCATCTCTACAACACATTATTCTGTTACACGGCTAAATGTTCCCTTTGTGGCCTAATTCAGTGTAATACTTCAGCAGAACAAATGAAAAAAGCTGGGCAATTAACAAAAATAATGGCTACATCATTCCATGAAGAGGGCAGTTTAACAGCTATCAAATCTTCAGAGGCAATTCCAATCAAAGAGCCTATCTGTGCTGTCATCAGAGCATCGCTGGCTGCATGTGGAGCATGTTCCCTGTGCAGGACACGCAAGAGGTAGTGATGGGGGTAGGTAGCATCTGTTCTTATCATGTACTCCAGATTCTGACTTCTTTTTCTTCTTTAGCATCAATGTCCTTTAAACACTATTCAGTCTCCCACTTCCGTCCAAGGAAAGAGCAGCCATCTAATATACGTCACAGCTGTTATGCAGAATACTTCCCCTGTGGTAAGTCAGCTTCAAATGCCTAAACTACCTGAGCAGAGCTTACTCAAGGCTTACTGATTTGTTTATGGAGAAACCCTAAACATGTTAATTCCCTTGTGAAGCTAATTTTAGAACACTTCAAACAGGTCAATACAATTTACTCCATCCCTACCCCCTTCCCCTCCATATATGATTTTGAGGATTTTTTAGCAGAGGACTTAAAATTATAGTGCAGTAAAAAGTTCAGTGTTGGGCAACTCTACAGGAAAGGGTTAATCCTGAAGACTGCTTCTGGCAATAGCACTACTATTTGGTTATTAAATGTTATTTTCAGTGACATTTTGTGGATCATGAGCTACAGGCACAAGGCTGACATTCTCCTTTGCTTTCTTTCACATATTACCTGTCAAAGGAGCACAGGTCTGGGAAGTGCTAGAGCCTGGGGTTGGCTATGGACTGAAGCAAACCTGTTTGACATTCAGCCCTCCTGCATGCAGGTGGACAACAGTCCAGCTCTGCGTGTTTGGGTGCAGTACAAGATACCAGGGATAGGAAATGCATATACAAGCTATTCAGTTGATTAAGGCATAAATGTTCAAGAGCAGTTGGACATATGCAAGAAGATTTGGCTGGTGGCTGCAGGGTCTTTCACTGCAGTTGAGGAGTAGGCCTGCCTCACCACTTTGAAAGAAACCATAAGACTCAGCACAAGTTGAAAGGCTTGATGGGGTTTGAGGAGAAGGTGATCCTCACAGATGCCTGCAGACTACTCCATGGACTCTGCACTGAGCCATCCTGCCCCAGGATTGTCCTTGCTCCATTTGTTCCTTCACCATTTAAACTAAGCAGCAAAGTACTATGATTCCAGCAATTCTGCCCTCACTGGTAACCTTGAAGGGCTGGTCTATTTGTGAGGACACCTACGTCAGTACTGAGAAACTGAACCTTCAAATGCTGCTTTTTGTTCTATAGAAATCCTTTACAGTGAATTCAGGTCATGCAATTATTTGTCTGTGATGAAACACCTGCTAGCCTTTTTTATTGTCTATTCTTCTTACCCAAACATCTTATTTTATCCATTTAAATATGGGAAAATGCCACTGCCATGCATCCATTAACTTTTTAACACTGAAACTGACTTTGTATGTGTAATAATAAGCACTTGCTGAAGGGAATATGCCCAGCATTACAATACTGTGAACAGGTCACAGGCAGATTCTTACATCGCCATGTGAAAATAATATTTTGTTTTGGGAAGAAAAAACCTCCAGTCCAGAAAACAAGCTGATTCTGATGCCTTTTCCCACAGAATTGAAAAATTCAGCTCTTGTTCCATATGAAGTCACTCAGGTAACGAAGTTGCACAGCCAGAAGCGGGAAAGGAGTAGTAGTTTATATTTAAGAGCTATCACCACAGAGCCGCTTTACATTCCCCCAGATGAGCTCTGCTGCCATTTATCATGCAATTCCAACACAAGTAATTTGCTACCACTATGAAAAATAACCCTGGTAGAGTCCTGGAATTGTTTATATATTGTACCTGTATCAATTGTTGAAAAAATGACTGATGGCAGCAAACAGACTTATGTCTCCTTCCTCCTTGGTGTTAAGCAACACACATTCCTCCTTTGCTTTCTTCTTTGCTGGGACCAAACCCCATAGGGGGATTATGGATGGGAAGCTGAAGCTTCCTACTCTTCTTCAGGCTCAGGGCAAAGGCGGGATGTAGCAGCTCAGCACTGGCTGAAAGGCGGCAGTAGTAGATCTGTGGTACCTCTAGACTTGACTATCAATAAACACTGGTAGTGACAGCAACCTTTGCAAGTGGGGAAAAGCTAGCCAAGGGCTTATAACTCTGGAGGTGTCAACGTTAGTTATCTACATCAAGACAGAGCAAATTGGTCTGAGAAGTTGATAGTGGTGGGCACATCAAAGAGAGAAGGCCCTTGCTCTGAGGGCTTACATTCAAGACAGGAGAGACCCGGGATGAGCCAAAACACAGGTAAAATGATTCACCCATGCTTGCCTCACACACCAGGCTGCGAACTGAGTAGGCTTCAGTGCTCCTCCCTGTAGGTTTCTGAGAGCTTGACGTGAGCTGGCCTTCAAGGGAGGTAGAGAAGAACTGCAATTACCCAGGATTTTTTTGAGA